TTTTTTTTTTTCCTTTTTAGGACTCAGCCCAGGAGAGTGTTATTACTCGAGATATTCATCGTACGTTTCCTGCACATGATTACTTTAAAGATACTGGAGGAGATGGTCAGGAATCACTCTACAAGATCTGCAAGGTAGGGCTACAACCTCATTTTTTCTAGATTATTTCATGGGGCTATCAATTAGGAACTCGTTTAAAGATTTTTAGATTTTTTTCTGTCTTCATTTCTTATTTGCACTGTACCCCACGTACACTACCGGATCTTCAGTACTGCGTCCAGAAGGCGACTTTTTTTGGCTGCGTGTTCCCCACCTCCACATGAGGGAGGAGGCAGGAAGTACAGTGTAGCCTCGGTTTGGCTCCTCCGAGCAGGAAAGGAACAGAAGGTCCTCTCCAGCTGTGTTGCGAAGGCTCAGAGGGGTCCCAGATGCCCTTTTGACAAGATAATGTAGCACTTGTCTCAGTTTTTTTTGACAGTAGGCAAGCGTAAGAATCAAGGTGGGGCCTATTGAGTACTGGCAAGTTCTCCGACGTGGCTGATATATTCTGAGTTGTGTCACATCGTACATCTTTGTGCAGTTTTTGTGTCCCATTTTGAGATCTTTCTTCTCCTTCTTTATTAGTGGGCCTGGGGGGAGACAACCTGTTACCTGATTTTCACTAAATGTGCTCTGCTTGGATGCAAAAGATTCTGTTTCTGTCCGTGGAGAATAGCTGTCAAGTTATTAATTTTTCAAGGTTATATCAGAAAAGCAGAATGAAGTGTGGTGGGTATACGCATATCGCCTCTATCTACCCTTCTAGTAGCTGTTGTTAATGAATAGTGAACTACACAAAAATCTGGTAATAATACGGAGAAAAAGGCAAACACCGTGGCTAATTTATAAGTCAGATAATCAGTTCCTGAAAAACAAATTTAGCCCTTTTAATGAGCAGCAAATATTAGCCAGTAGGTAGTCAGAGGTATACTCACAAACCTATTTCATTTTATATTTACTACTTAAAAAAAAACGAGCACTTAGAAAAGCACTCGCCTACATATTCTAGCAGAGTAAAGTTGGTGTTTAATTCTGCGGATGGCACAGCTTTCATTAAAGTCCTTCTTGTGTTTTGGTGGTTTTGCCCTCATCCTACTCCTGTCTTTTTTTTACTTCTTTCTCTCTCTCTCTCTCTCTCTCTCTCTCAGATTTTTTGATCTAACCATTTTGGAAGATTATAAATGTACACCGATCAGAAATCTATTTTTATATGACTATCATTCAGAGCTAGAAATACATAAGTAACTTACAATCTGAGAGCATACTGATCTCTGGAAAATAATACATCATCTACTTTAAAAGCACCAAAGACCATTGGACAATGCAAGAAAATGTGTAATATATTTATTACACACTTGTAAAAGGCAAAGTTTAATTATTTAAAATTTTTTTCTGCCACTTTGAAATTCTTCAAGCTAAATAAATTCTGACTTGTGTAAAGAAGCTGGGAAAATTGATATAGTTTCTAAGTTTATTTAGAAGGGTCGGACTTATGGCGTATGGAACAACATTTTTCCCCTAGCATTTAATATATTTTTAGCTAGTCAGTGATTTTCCCCTTAGTTTTTTTCTGATTGATACTAGATACTTTCTTCATATAACTAAAACAGATGGTTCTAATATGCTTGCAGCTTCTGACTTAAAATTTTGCTCCATTGTAGTAAAAATAGTATTTGCCTCATTATATAATATTTAGAGGGGAACTATCTGAAACATTGCTAAACACGAAAATAATAGTTACATTTGGCACCTTTAAATACTTGGTACTCTTTGGTTTGCTGTTGCAGATAATAATCTAACCTTGAGTTCACTACAAAATATTCATTAGTACATTTACACAGCTCATGTAGCTATTATATATTATCAGTGTACATTTTACTACATGATTAGATACTTTTTAAGCCCTTTCTGAGACAAATATTATAAAATGTAGATCTAAGATACTTTATTATTGATAAGTAGCTTAAATTACACAATTTTGTGCAGATGTGGAAAGCAAATAAAATCATATTCAAGATATTAAATAAAAATTGTTAAGGCTTTTAATATTGTACTAATGTATGTATATGAAAATAATTTCACAACAATCTTTGATAATGGAGGTGAACAGAGAGATACGTATCAGCAAATGTTGGAGACATTAGCTGGGGTCCTACTTTGTGGACCGCTTGGTTTGTGACTGACCTGATTCCTTCTCCTCTTGATCTGCTATCGTTTAACAGTCCGTGCTCATGCCAGGAAACCTTACATGGTGGTGATAACTCCTAAATAGGATAGCATACTTATGCATAATTTAGAATGAAATATTCTTCTCAAGATTCTATGTTCACTTGCCTTTGCTATTTGTTTCTGATTTGAGCCATGGTCTCTTACTTTATGATCCCCTTCCCATATTCCCAAAAAGCTGTTTATGTGTGACCTTTAAGTCCACTGAGTACAGTCTACTCCTAATTCGTTATTTCTAGAGTAATAACTAGATCATACCTCATATTCAGGAATACGCCTTTGAGTTTCCATTCTGGATATCCTGCGCAGACCTGAATAAACATTAATAACACCTGATGTTATGTCAGCCACTTTGTTATGTAAACTATAAATAAGGACAGTTTTGCGTTTTCATTGCCAATCCTTATTCTTTTTCTTTTTGTTGTCTTACTGCACTGACCACAACCTCTAGTATAATGGTAAATGAAGTTAGGTTAAAATGAAGCAATGATGGTAGACATCCTTTTCTTTCTCCTGATTTTAAAGGAAATGCATCTAATGATTTACCACTAATGATGGTGCATCTTATTCACATCAGCAACACAATTATAGACCTTTTTTAAAATACAGTGCCTTCCACATGTTAAAATAATTTCATATTTGCAGAGTACTTTCACATGTATTTCCTCATTTATTTCTGACAATTCCTCATCAGTGGAGCCTATAGTAGAGATACAATATGCTGTGCTCTGAAATTGAGCAGAAATTATTAAGAGAATTTCAGTTACAATAAGTTTAGAAGTCACCTCTGGTTTCAAGGATATAACAATCTGACTCTGTAGTTGAAAAGTTGAAAGGTGGCTTTGGTGAAATGATAAATGATCTAAACTGTCAGATTAGAGGGAAGACTGTTAAAAACTTACTGTCATGTTTTAATGGTCCTGTCAATTCCAGTTTTGCTTCTTAATATCTCTTTCAGAGTAGGAGGAAATGGAAATGGTTCAAAGCTTCTTCTGTTGTCATAAATTTTTATAGGGAAAGTTGAGCTCAAAGTATAATAGTAGAATTTGTAAGTTTCTGTAAATGAAAAGGTTTTCAAATTTATAGTTTTATGCAAATGAAAGGTTTCTGCAAATGAAAAGTTTTGGTCCTTCCCTCTTTCCTTCCTTGTCTTTCCTATTAGTTAGGTCAATAACATATTTTAAAATAGTGTTTTTGAAAGGAAAACTATACTACCACTCAAGTATCTTTAGCACTTTTATAATTTACATATGATATAAAAATCTATTTTAAGTTTGGAGACAGGTTGGTATAGACAGGTTGGACTGGGCATCAGGAGATCTGGTTCTAGTTTTGATTCTTCCGCTAAGCAGGTCTAAGACTTTGAGAAAATCACTCTTTCGATTTCCTCGTCAGTAAGGGTGTGGGGTATGACAAGATTGTTCCAGTTCCGATTTGCTGTGATTCCAAGTATTTAAAATTTTTTTCCCTAAAATATAACAGATGAAGGAAGAATTTAATAGTTAAGTCCTGTGTCAGTTATTAGCTCTGTCTCAATACCAAAGCTGTAAAGGAGACTCCTTTAACTTGAGGACTCTGCCTGGCTTTGTGTTACTGTACTTGAGTCTGTCACATCCAGTGGTGCCCAGTTAGTGGTTTACTTTTAGATTCACATCTCTTCATGAGACCTAAGACCAGTCAGTCATAGTAATCAGATAAAATAGTGTTCACAACAGAATAGATTGAAGTGACTTTTGGTATGCAATTCAATTTGTGCATATTGCTTTTTCTAATTTTTTGATTAGAGCAACTGCTTTCTGAAAAAGAGGATACTGCTGTGAATTTAATTGGAAGGATTAAATATATTACAGAGAGATCAATACCTTGGTTCGTCTGGATTAATAATTTGATAGTATAATGGTTTGTGGGAGGACAAAAATAAACTTAACCCTTGTTTTATCAAATATTTTTATCGAAAAAAGATTGGATTTATTATAAAAGCTAGAACATTTCAGGTAATATTTTGATACCAATGAGTGATCTGCACAATTTTGAAGAATACAAATGATCGCTAACTCTTAAAATGAGGTGTCATATATTATTTATATTGTTTTCTAGACTTAGTTGAAAACCTAGAAAACAATATAAATAATATTGCTTAGGGAGTATTTGTGGTTATGTGATGAATTATTTTTAGTTAGTTTACTTAGTTGATAGTATTTTCAATTCAGTTTTCTAGCTATTTGACTACTTTTAATTCAACCCTCTTCCTTGGGGTGCTTGAATGAGCTCCAGTGTAAATGGCAGCGTTTTTTAGCGAATTACAGTCCAGTATTCTTTACTCTGCATAGCCCAATTTACCCGTGAGCAATCTGTGGAAGTCCTCCTACTCATGTCTTTGGAATTGCATTGGCTTCAGAATGAGAGCCATTTGTTATGGATGATAAGTGTTCTTGGATCAAATAGACCCGAAAGGATTTAGTTTGGAGCAGTACCTTGGGGGAATCAGGAAGCCCTTAGAGAACCAAACAGGTTTTTCTATTCTCTGTGTACCTCCTCTCTCTCCCTTGAGTTTCTAGTGAGCTGCTTTAGAATGATGGCAACCTTCCAAACATGGGCTGCTGAGGAATCCTTTGAACTCCTGGGGCCTCCTACTTTGCCAGCACATCTTAATGAGCACTGAATTAAGTGGTTTCAGCAGGTCTGTAAGGACAGCAGTGTATTCTCAAAGCAAATTAACTTCCTTAAGGAAAAATGAATTCTTTCAAGTCTTACAAGAAGATTTCGAGAACCATCCTAGTGTTTTGATCAACATAATCACAACAATAATAGCAGAAACTTGTGAAGCCTTGTGGTTTAGAAAGCACTTCTGTACATGTTGTTATTTGAC